AATTCTGTCACCCATTGCCATGTCAATGCCAATATGGCAATTTCTTACCATCATGAACTGTCATCATGGATAACAAAAGTTAAACTTGGTAAACAAGTCAAATTCAGTGAGTTTAGATTGGATCACACCTCAAATTTTAAGTTTGGTCATTTCAAATTGTAGGTTAAAAGAGTAAACCTACAATTGATCCACACAAATCTCGAATTTGATAAAGTAAACCCAACTTTTAAAAAAAATGAAATTAAAATTTAAAATTTTTAATATTTTTTTATTTTTCTTTAAATAAATTTTAATATTAATTAATTATTTAGTCAAAAATCTTTTAAATTAATATTAACACTAATAATTTAATAAATAATAATTATTTTATAGTATTTAATTTTATTTTATACTTAAAAATTAAAATTAAAAATGTAATTAATTAAAATTTTAAATTAAAAAAATTAATTAACTTTAGTTGAATTATTTTGAATTGACTTGATTCAACTCAAACCCAACTCAATTGAATTCGAGTAATTTTGGTTTGGATTATATCTAATTTTAAATTAATACTTTAAAGATTTAAACCCATGATGACCCTAATTATAGTGAATGGATAAGGTTAGATTTTTGAATTATATCCAATTTTATTAAGTCTAATAAAAGTGAAGAACTATGTCCCTAACACGATGACAATCACGATGACAATCATGATGACAAGGAATTGCCATGTTGATGTTGACATGGCAATAGGTAACAAAATTTAATGAGCACACGATATCGTCATTCATTTTAGGGCTTTTTCATTTCTACAGAAAAGATGAGGGGTTAAAACTTTTATATTGTAACTTGAAGGGTTAATGCTCTCATAATCAATAAGGTGGAGGGCTGGCCAAGGATTTCGCCTAAGGTCCCTCTATAATCTTTGTGTATAATAATTAGACAAATTAAACAAATTAAGACGATTTCTAAAAATTCAATTTCAAAATCTCAATAAAATCTTTTAAATTCATATTCTTCTCCTGCACGCACTCTATGTGTTACGATTTTATGTTGAGTCTTTTCTTTGGGGATTTTTCTCCTAAGAGTAGGAATTCTATCTTTATGATTCTTTCATCCATTTTAATTGTGTTTTTCCCTTTGCTTTTATTTTGACCAATCCCTATGTTCTCTATCTTCTTCATTAAAAAGAGCAAACAAACAAACAAACAAACAAAAAAAATATCAAGGTCAAGCGGCAATAAAAATCAAGGGCGGTTGTGCTTTTGTTTCCTATTTCCTCTTGCTTTGTTATGGATTCCCTTCTGCCGGCAAGCCGCTGCTCTCGGACTGCCGTTTGGCGCTGTAACTTGGTGTTGGGTTGACTGTTTAGCGCCTTGGCGCTGTTCGTTTTGGCTGCGTTTTAGGGTAGTCTCATTATGCTTGGGTCATACGGCTTAGAATAGAGCAAAAAGAGAGACGAAGGCAATTATTATTTTTATTTTTTCAACAAAAAATAATTATTTATTACCATGATTATATTTTAATAAAAGGGGAAAAAAGAAAACTTGAAGATCGAATACAAAATGTCCTCAGTAATGTTTTCACTTTTAAAACAGAATATTACTATTTTGCCTATCATGTATTACATATTTTTAATAAAAAATAAAAAAATTTAAAGATCAAATACAGAATATTTTCAATAATATTTTTATTTTTAAAATAAAATATTACCACTCTAATCGATGTGTAAAAAAACGAATAAGGCAATTACTACGTATAAATCATTTGTATGATTTTCAGTGGACTCAATGATCAATGATCAAGAGTGGAACGTTAAAAATCAATGGGGTCTTGATTTATCACTATTATTGGTTTTTGACTCAAAGATTTCTTCGAAGAGGCCCTCATGCAACAACATCAGGTGGTCCCATCAAAAGAGGAAAGAGGACTGCTAACTGAAGTTGCTTTAAACACCCGCTCTTTAACACCCGCGTTCTCATTTTGCCACCTCATTTACGCGTTTAAAGATGCACGGATAACGGACCTCAGCCAGTCACTAAAAAGACAAATTATAACACAAACCAAGGCAACTTTACTTTTCTCCAATTTACCCAGACCAATTTTACACGATTGCTTGAAGGCCCCCACCTTTAATCTGCATAGGGAAAACCACTTAAATCTTTATTGGTTCACTTTTGTATTCACAGCGGTGACACAAGGAGGGCAAGGCAAGGGCAAGCTACATTTAATTTGGCATCGATAAAGTAGCAGTAGCACCAGGATGGAGCTTGTGTCAATGGAATTGAAAATAGAAGGGAAAACGGAAGGTTTTATTGGTTATTGTTGTGTTGCGTGATTTAAGGGATCCTCTATTTGCTGCTTTCTTTGGGTAAAAGGGCTACTCTTTTATTCAACTTCTCCATGTTTGTCTCCCCCACCATGCTCGTTGACCCAAGCTTTTGTTTGGATTGAGAGAGTTGAGGAGAGGGGAGGAGAGTAAGGGAGATGTCTCTTTTTTTTATTATTATTTAGATAATTTTATTAATTAATGGGGAATAAGAGGCAGATAAAGAGGGAGATAGATGGAGAGGCAGTAGACTCCCTCTTAGAGGTGGCAATTTCTTTCGACTTTATGAGCCTGAGGAAAAGAATATTTCTTTTTACTTGTGAAAATTCTTATTTTTGTGAAAAATTAAAAAAATATATAAATTAATTTTATTTTAAATTTAACCCATTACAATACATCACAATACATTTTACGCTGAATCAAATAAAAATTTAATTTAATTTAATTTTATATAACTCAACCTAACACATATAAGTGTAACCTAATTAAATTGAATTAATTTTTGTTTATATTTGAAGAATTTATATTTAATTTTATATTTAAAAAACTTTAATTAATTATGTTTAAATTTTTAAATTTTTATTAATTATGTTTAAATATTAATTGATTATATTTAGAGAATTAAATTTATATTTTAGTATAAATGGATGAAAAATGGGGATCCACGGAAATAAAGATCATGAGCAAAATCTATCTCTCGTCAAGGATTCTCTTAAGAATCGTTGTCCCTGTCATTTGAGTGGACAAGGATAGGGAGGCAATGTACGGACCTATAGTGCCCTTTTGCCACCCTTACTCCCTCCAAATCCTTTATTTTTAATCCCTTCAATTTGGAGGGATTAAGAAGGATTATATTTATTTTTATTTTATTTTTTTACCCTTATTTTCCATAAATGTAATCAAAATTTATATTTTAACTTTAATTTTAATATATATTTATAAAATTTTAATTAATTTTATAATTATTTTTTTTAATTTATTTAATTAAATAAAAATAAAAACAAAAGTTCTCTTTTTTTTTTTTTTAATTTATCCAAACAAAATTAATGCTAATCCTTTCCTCTTTTCTTTTTCTTTCTTTTTACTCTCCCTCCTTTTTCTTTACTAATTTTTATCCAAACACAGTATAAGAGTTTTGTATTATAATTTTATTAAATTGATCAAAAATTTGGAATCGTAAAAATTTAGTGATGTTAATTATTTATAGCTCTCCTCTCAAACATGAATACAAGATGATTTATTTGTGAGAGTATATTTCTTCCTGAATGATCCGCTGATACTTACAACAACCAGAAATCTAGTCATCGAAAAATTATTCTTTTTTTTTTTTTTTAATTAGAACCCAAGAAAAAGAAGAAGAGAAAATTATTTTGGTTTTGGCTAAAGAATGAAAAACTCTAGAGAGAGACAGAGTTGCTGCGCAGGCAACTGCGAGCTTTACGGAGAAGCATGAAGGAGATCAGCAGCCAAAAACGGGGAAAAGAGAGCCAGAAGACCCAGAACCCAAAAAGAAACAAAGGCGTTCAAAGCTTAAGGAAAAGAGAGTAACTCCGGAAAAAGGTTGGAATTTGTGAAGAGATGGATTTGAGCTGCTAGAAAGAATGAGTTGGTGAACTGGTGATTGGTGAAGACAAAACTAGACATCCATGGCACACAGGCAAATGAGGAGGCCGGAGGTGAGGTGGGAGAAAATTGGTGGGGG